AATAATTCTTTATACATTTTAGTGAATGAAACACGCTGTATATGCGATGTGTACTATATTATTTTGGCCATGTTGGTGTTTTGTGTATATATCCGGCATGTGTACGTCGAGAACATGACTTATTATAAACACCACGTCGGATACTTATAACAATGTCCTTTTGTAGGACTTTTTCACCTCCTAACACGTTTTTCTCAAGCGATGGTTAACACATCCCGAGAAATGATGTATATGACGTCAAAACTTGTAGGGCTTTCGTCTGACGGACCATTATAAACAAACAAAGAAAATCCACACACTCTACTGTTGCAAAAAACCAGAAAAAATTTGTCTAAAACTCCTCTCCTGTGGTTAATTAGTGTGATAAGACATACATAATATGTAGCACCATCCCTTATTTTTTTATACGAATCGACTTATTTTAAATATCGTTTCGATAATTGACGAAATTTTGTCCTTGCATAAAAGTCGATTAATATGATACAGTATTATCAGCGTGCCTTGATTTAAAATATTTAAAATATTCAATAATAAATAAAATTTATTCAAACACATTTATATAAAATACACTTATTCTATGATATTATTAAAATTCTTCATTACGTAATATTGTTCTCTAGGGTTTTTATCAAGTATACGGTTGAAACTTCGAACTGAGAAATCTTAAATAATTTCCCCTTTAGCGTATTAATCTTTTTTTTTTTTTTAAACGTATTTTTTTATATATATTTTCGTGAATATATTTAATGGCACGTAATAGAAAATCGAGCAGCAGAGCTCTATCACTAGTATCAAAGTGTCCACCAGTCGACTAGTTGCAAAAAAACATCTTTGGCAACCATTCTATTTATTTATTCACATTTTTACAAAGTTATTTACTCGCATGAATCTATAAAGATATTTAATATAGTATTTCCTGTGGAAACATGAAATCTAAGTGTAAAAATGGCTGTAAAAGAATTTGAAAGTTAAAAACACCATAGGGCACATCTTTGACATTTATACTATATAAATATATATACAATTTTATCATCTGGCTTTATTTGAGTGGTTTGCAGCTCATATATCAATTGATATAAATGTTTTTTCTTTAATCCCCCTAGAAAAAAAAAAAAAAACCCACGATTCCGAGTTTGAGCTAATTTGATCCATATATAGAGCCGCTAAATTGTCCTAATGAATCGAGGGGAAGGTCGGGAATAAATGTATATTACAGGCAATGCAGTGGAATAGTATTTATTTTCGTGAACTATTTGACAAAAAGGTCCGTTTTACTTCACGTAATTGGTTAAACGTAAATAATATTTAAATGTCCACAAGCGTTCACCTACATTTAAGTAAGGAACATTCGATAGAATGTTTTACGTTCAATTAGACATTATTGTTCACGGAGTTAAGAATCAAATTTCGATCGGTCGGTCTTAAGTCGGAATCAAATTTGTATGTATTTATAAACGTACTCAAAGGAGATATTCTATATTGGTTTTGGCTGGGTTAAACGAAAGTTTTGTTGGGCATTATAAACAAGTGTTATTTTTTTTTAAATTTTTACTAAAGTTTAATTCTAGAGTTTTAAAATATATCATACAATTTTTATTTCAAATAAAACACTCAACTGTAAATTTAACGTTGATAAACGGCTGATTTATAAAATTAATCAAACGACATTAACGTCTTTTTCATAATTAAGTTAAAAAAATATATGTATTGATGTAGGTATTTTAAAATGCTATAAATAAAACAACCAAATTTCAGGCTTGTGCAGTGTAATTTTTCTGCGTTAATAATAAAATATTTGGCGTGCAACGTTAAGTAATTGAATGTATAATTGAAAGAAAAACTATTTTTTACTTTCGAAAAATAGAGAAAAAGAGAGAGAAAGAGAGTGCAGTCGAACACACTGTGGTGTTGTGATGGAAGCGATGTACTATAATGCAGTTTTGATTTATGACCCCGATGTCTCTACACGGAGAATAAATTGACTGTTACGGGGTTTTTTTTCATAATATATATATACAAATACTATTATTATATTTTATTTAAATAATAATAGCGTCCACGTGTGTTAACAAATTTGCATTTGAATGTTATGATATTAAGACGGCGTTGTTCGTACCATTCCGAAGGTTATACAAAATAAGTACATTCAAATTGTTGTGCTTTTTTTCTTTAAACAGTATATTTAATATTTTGAAGTAAATATACAACGATAACTGAATAATATAACGTCCGGAATATTGTTTATGAAATCCATACAGGTATACCTATAATAATATACGCTATAGCTACCTAACTATTATTATGAAAACATCGATCGGCGTACTGTTTCCAAGCCGCAATATCCGACAGTCTTTTCCTGCACTCAAAGATCTCGTGTCGATATATACTTCTATTTAGAATAACAATAGTGTCGACGGTGAGCAATATTATTAGGTATTATTGTGGGTATAAGTTGCCTGAATTATACATATATTCCAGTGGCTCTGCAGATTGCAGAGTGGCAAATTGTGAGACACGAGCACTTCGCGGGGGAGATGCGAAATAAATATAGTACCTATACATTTATCTTTATACCTTTATAATTTTAGCATTTTGGATTTTGGTACTACAAACTACAATGATGAATACATAAGAAAGCGTCTACCATTTGTGCAGTAGCCGTAATCCAAATATAGACCCGAACCGAACGTGAAAAAAAAAATGCGTGTAGCATTTACAACACTTCTTCCTGACTTTGATCGGTATAGGAAATACATGCAGAAACAATACCAATGTTCAATTCATTTCATTTTATATTATTTAACCATTAGACTCGAGGTTGCGAAGTATTTAAAAATTTGTTAAAAATGTTTGAAACATTCAAAAATTAAACTAAAATAACTAATATGTTCAAAAGAGTGATGACACTCATTCTAAATTTATGAATGAAAATAAAGAATTACTTTTGCTTTTGGACAAAGAGGTAAAATGTTTTTTATTTTAATTTTATTCTTAACTCTTAAGTAAAATTATTATAGTGATTTAAAAAAAAACCCATTTTATAAAATATGTTTAAATGATATATATATTTTTTTATAACTAAACAATGTTTAAAAAAAAATCTATTTTTTGTATCCCTGTGTAGGAGCCGTGAGAAAATTGTTCTCTTTTCAAGGAGGATTAATAGTTGGAAAATATATTCAATAAATTGTCCTTATTTAATAATATGTTTTGAGCTAAACTTTGTTCTGAATCGTATTTTATCCACAACGATTTACTGTTGCGTCAGATATAATTTAAGTATCTATATGTTCTATGTATACTATCTTTCTTACTATGTATCAGTAATAGACCCATTAGCGGTATCAATTCTATTTTTTTTGTTTTTTAATTTTGAGTTCTTTTTATGTTGGTAACGTAAATTTAATTTTAGTGCAATTGATGTAAAATATTTCTCTGTAAACAGCTTAAATCCTAAGTAAAATATTATGTATCTCATTTAAGACACAGGATGTTGTAGTATACAATCGAACAAATTTGCGGAAAATTGATCACTGACACACTTAGAGAGCCTATACATAGTAAAAATTGGCTAACCGTATATTGCATTCTGATTAGTTGACCTGTTATCTATATCTGATATCTTAATATTATACACATTACATTAATACCTATTTTACCATTAACATTTCAAAGTTTTTTCCCCCAACAAAATAAGATAGGGAATTATTGTAAAAATAATAAATTTGATCACAATAATATTATAGTACCTATGCATAATAATATAAGCCCTGACAAAAATCTAACCGTGAAAAAAGGGTTAAGTCTCAAATCACCTCCCAAATAAATCAGCCTATCAAAGTAGTATTATTTACATTGTTACAAAGTCTGCCTTTTCATTTGTCCATAAACTCATTTCACTACTACTTTCATGAGTAACAATGTACTTTTATTTGTATTGCTTAACACCTGACTAGTTTCTGAAAATGGCATAAAACAGATTTGGCTACGGTATATATAACACTTCTTTGATATGATGCATTTTTTTGATTGGTAATTCGGGACTTTAACTTTTGTTCACGTTAAGGTTATATTAGAGACAGCATTCGTTTTTGCTAGTATCAGTATCGTAGGTGTTGTTTTTGAATGTTTGATTCATTGTAGTAATTATTTATGTCGTAGATTTTCTCTTGTAAGATCGTTTGGACCTCTGTTATGAAGTTCAGAGACTGGCCTCTTGGGCGTCGTCAACCCCAGACACAGCTATACAAGTAAGATCAAACGCTGCGCAAATTCTTATGTTCTTATATTTAAGTTTGATAACAAATCACTGTAATATTAATTTTGATAGTCTCCATATGTTTTCTCTGCTGAACGAAAATTTGCTATAACGTACGTTTATAACACAATACGTGGGTATCACACCATCTTGATCTAAACCAGTGTTTCCAAAAGTGGTCAATATCGTCCCCTTGGGGGCGCTAAAGATATCTAGGGAGCAATGGAAGTTAAAAACTTGATTGGGAGTATTGGATTGCAAACGCGGTGGTGACTGATTCAAAATTTGTGTCAGCAACATTATGTAGCACAAATTATTCTACATGTGTATTTTGTGTTTATTATTTTGGAATAATCGTTTGTCGTCTGTCGAATGCGGTCATTATCGCGATAACATGGTCAAAACAAAGCAAAAATGTAGACCAGTATAATAATAAATATTTGAAGTACGGTTTCATTCAATATCAATCACTTACAAAATATATTGCATTACTGATGATGTGCGTCATTTGCCAAAAAGTTTTTACAACTGCAAAGTTTATGCTAATAAAAAAAATATGGATATTTTGTTTTCTTTTAGTAAAACGCCAGATACATTCATCTCATTAGGATACAATTTTTTTTTATTAATACTTGTACAACGTACATTATAAAATATTATAATAAAACATATATTTATATTTTATAAATAATAAATAAATTTTTTATTGCATATTTTTGTACAAATACATTTTTCTTTGAGTGGGGCGTCTGTCGGATATTTTTTTCAAGTGGCCGATAAAGTTTAAAAGTTTGGGGACGTTAAACAGTTAATAATAATAAAAGTAAATCATTCAATAACAACAATATTAGGATAATCAAGAGTATATTATAAGGGACAAGTATCGTCGTCGATAATATTAAAATGTGTAGGTACCTAGGTACCTATACATAAATCAACTCTAAACGCATAATTTATGTTTCGGTACTTACTGTTTTATTACAACGCTCTTTATTTTATTTTTATTTTTTCTTCCTGTAACCTAATGTTGTCAGAAACACGAATGTTATTGGATTGTTTTTCTGCTTCTTGAAAAAAAAAAATGAATTTTATAATAATTTATCGAATTGAAATCGAAAATACGAAGCATACAAATAATCATAAACGTTTTTAACCGATAATGATAAAAAAAAAAAAAAAAACAGTTATAATATATAACGTTATCGTCTATTTTGAATTTAATAAATAAACCATTCGTAATAATATGTGTATGTTGATTTTCGATAACATAAACGTGTTCGCGTAAATAGGTAAATACACGTGTTGCCACACGTAGGTAGATACCTGGTATACAGTTTGACAAAAAAAAAAAAAAAAAAAAAAAAAATGTAATATAAAAAAAAGGAAAGTAATTGTATTTTTTTATTTTTAATTTACACAATATATAATAATACATTACTAGCATCTACTAGCGTCTATTATACATAATATATACAGGGTGTATTGGCAGGATTTGATAATAGTGCCTATATGCAATATTATTGCAATTGCAAATATCGTTAAAACCTGTAAATACAGAGTGTATACTGTATATAGAATCAAATTCATTTATTATTATTATTTTTTTTCAATTATAATATGTAGGCATAACAAAAAAAAAAAGGAAAGAATTTGTTTTTTTTTTTTTTTTTTGTTTTTAATAATAATTATATAACATTTCAACAAAATAATAATATTATGATAGTGTTTAACTTATTATCGTAATAATAATATTGTAATCGTTATTTTCGGTTTGTATAATTAATGTTATTAAAATCGTATAATATATTAATTTCAATAGTATATGTATGTATAGTAAAATTATTATTTAAGTACAACATAATAATAATAATTATAATAATAATAATAATAACGCGGGTATACAATAATAATATTTTGTATATTATACAAAACGAACAATATTAATAATAGGGCGTCCCGAAGGTACATATCTATAGGTAGGTACTTAAATAATAATATTATAATGTCAAACATAACAATGATAATACGTAAACGTAATATTATAAAACAATAATAATATTATTATTATTGAATCGCTCTAAATAAACGGTATGTATAGCCGATATAGTAATAATTATTAATATACCTAGTAGAAATTTTAAAACGATAAATTCCGATTATAATCATATTATTATTATTATTGTAAAATGCAAATCGTGGTTCAAGAAAATACCGTTAGACGACTAGTGATAAGGTGACCGTAAAACTAAATTCGTTATCTAAAGGTAGGAATATGATGCGCAGAACGGATCGTTTTCGCACTCCGTGTGTGATAATTATAGGATTCTGTGCTATAATTTATTCATTTGAATGACAAATAGACTATTTTGGTAATTTTTTATTGTATCAATGCAATATATTTTTCAATTTTTTATTACAAAAATCGTAAAAAATAAATTATGATTCAGAACAATAATAGTTCACCATTGGGAGCGCTAACCGTTAGTTTTACAACTGATTTGGCGATTCTGTTTGTCGGTCACGAATAAAGTTCGTACATCACTGCTCGTCGTCTCACTAGTATTATCCTAAACTGTAATCGAAATATAGCTATAATAAGGCGAACAAGACAGTATTTAATTATGATAATAATAACTATAATAATAATAACATTAGGTTAGGTAAATCAATAAAATTTGGGAGAATGTAAACTTTCAAAGGCCTTGAAAAAAACCTTGAGTATTCTAACTATTGTTGGCGGTCAAAACGGTCAAGTTAACAATAATGATTATTTCTTTCATAGACCTTATCAACTAGCACACTGTAGTTTTTACACTCTACGCATAAAGACAAAAAACCGATACAACGTTTGATAAGCAACAAGAGGTATGACGGGAGAAAAATACACGTTTTATGGTTTTTTTTTTTTTCGTGAAAAACAGTGATTTATTATAAATAAAATCACAGATAAAGTACAAACCACGACCGTGGATGTATAGGACTGGAAACAAAATGTGGGAGGAATGCGAGGCCCGGAATCACAGTGTAACGCGCGTGGTTCAAATACGACTGTGGCTGTATCTATTGATAATAGTTCACTATTTTCTTTTTACCTAATACAATCAATGCTCACTGTTGATGACGACATGGACTATTACATCCGTGATAATGCTTTAGTATACCTATCAAATCTTACTTGCTTAAATTATACGATCTACTCCGTGGACCGTGATAAAACGGACTAAGGTATACAGGAATGGAAACGAAAATTGTTATCAATGGAACTATAATTTAACGCTAAATGTACAATAATTAACTTTTACAATATCGATTTTAATTCCATTTATGAGCTATTCGCAGCCATATAAATATTATTACAATCATGATAATACTATGTAAGCTCTGTTATATTTGTTAACAGTAACAGATTTTTTGTAAACATGTTTATTGTAAAAAAGAAAAAAGAAAATATAAATTGAGTTTTAACTAATTTGATACACTTTTTTTTAAATTAATTCTTATTATTTCCTAATATCCATATTTTTGTACACCATCACAAAGCATTTCCTCGTCATTATCATGGATAGTAAAAGAAAAAAAGAAGAAATGTACTATAATCTATGGAGTAGATCTTTAAATGTAAGCAAATACATGATGTAAGATTTTCGTGCCATCAGTATTAATTTACTACGTACTATGAAATGGGGAAATGATCGATTAATGGATTGAGCCACATTATGATTCCAGCCCCGTACTCTTCTCGCCCTTCGTTTCCAGTCCTGCATATCTCAGTCCGTAGTACTAAATCATATTATTTACGATAAATAAATGGTTTCCACGGTAAAAAAAAAAAAAAAAAAAAATGTTTAATATATATTTTTTCTTCTCAGATACCCTTTTATGCTTATCAAATGTTGTTGGATTAATTTTCGGACAAGGCGCATACCGCTAAAAGTCTATGATTCTTTTTCATAAAATATTACAAGTGTGTTTATAGATTTTACACTGATTTGGAAAAAAAAAAAAGGTACATAGAATATTTGAAAATGTTACCTACTGCGTCGACAAAAAAAAAAAAAAAAACTATGTAATATATTTTTGTATACAGAGAATAAAAATGAATAATTATTATTTTAAACAACATATCCTGAGCAAATAACAACTTATTATATATAGGTATTTCTCACTGTTGAACTTACTGAATTTTTTTTAACTTTATCCGTTTTGACTGGCCGCACGCATAACATTGAACAAATTATTCGGTTGTTTTTTTTGTTTTTTTTTTTTTTTTTCAAGTTAATATTATAATATATTATGACGAGAACTGTAACATAATATTGTATACTTACATAATATATAAAATAATATATATGTATATAAAAAAAAAAAAAAAAAATGAAAAATGTCAAGCTATTATGGTAGCGACTTTAATTAATAATTGTATATATATACACATCATACGACTTGTATTACATGAAAAATAGAGTTTAACAGTAAAACCCACGGGGCGCGAGCGAGTATTTTAAAGCTATATAATAATAATAATAATAATAATAATAATAATAATAGTTCATAAACAATTTAATAACGAAATATAGTTTATAATGTAGACGGATTGAAGGATCTGTCAGCCCGGCAACGTCTTGCTACAGCAATAGCAGAAAAAGCGCTGTACATTATTAACTATATTATATTTATAAAATAATGTATGTATCACTAAGAACCTACATAAAAAAGAAAAAAAAAAAAGAGAAAGAAATAATAACTAACAAAAACCGATTGCGATTTGGTCGTCATCACCGCGATTTAATTCGTACGTCAACGAGAATAATCATGAGCCGTGAACTGATATTTAAGAAAAATTAACCGCCAGCGCTCCAGACTAAAAAAATTACAATTGTTATGGTGTTGCCATGAGTACGGAAAATGGGGACAATCGACTATTTCAATTTCATATCAGTGTAAATTCACTGTAAATAATATGTGAATTTGTCATCTGATATTTGAGCTATTGTCCTCTGGAAGCGCTGTACATTATTTCAATAGCCGTTTTTGAATATCAGTTCACACGAGTCACTGCGGATCGCCCACTACAGATCGTCGTGAAAAATCTCAAATCGTGGTCATTACAAACAGTAGCGCACGCAGGACTTTTTCCGGGGGAAATTGTGCTTATAATAATTTTACAGATAGGACATAGCACATATTATCAGTGCAGTACTATCACTGTTATTGCTAAAAAAATGATTTTTGATGAAATTAAATTTTATTTTATACTGTGCTACTGTGGTATAAGATATTATGTTGTGAATGTAAAACTTGATTTAAAAAAAAATGTAACGAAGGAAGACATTTGGAAGGGGAGTTGACCTCTTAATCACCTCGCCCTTGCGTGCGCCACTGGTTACAAAGTTTATTGTTATTGTTTTATTATAATAAACTAAATACACTCGTAAAAAAAATCGTTTCTCGTGAAACCCGATGAAAGAGTAGTGTTTTTTTTTTGTTTTTTTTTTTTTAAATTAAAATATAATAATAATAATATGCGTATAGGTATACGAAAGTTTTTTTTTTTAAATATATATATATATATATATTTTTTTTTTTATACAGTTTTTTAGCGAAAACAAAATGTTATACAAAGTATATGATTTTTATTTTTCGAAAATCGCGTTCGAACGGCGGCTGTCATCCCTGTGATGGACTCGGAATTTTTCGGGACTCGTGTTTTAACAGTAATCGGCCGAAACTCGAGCCAATAAAGTCTAAGCGAAACCACGTGAAAACTAGAGCGCGCCCGTGCGTAGACTCTCGAACAATAATAATAATTAATACGTTTTTTAATAAAATAATGGCGTGAAAACGGTTTGAAATTAAATCGTTTCACAATCCTTAAAAACCGTTTGGCCGAATATTTATTATACCCGTTTATAAAATATCGTGTACAATGTCCATAAATACGATAACAATTATGTTCATCGATTTAATGTATTATACGTTTGTTATCTTGTTAAAATCGAATCGGATGTAGGCACTCACTGTATCATTCGATATTTTAAATCGAGTATTTAAAGATAGAAATCGGGACGTAACTATTTAAAATGACGGGCAATAATGATCACAATAATAATAACAGTAATAATAGTAATAAATTGGCCGTGTAACGCACAGATAAAATGTTGTTTATGTGTTCATTTTGATAAATCATTTTAAACGGTTTCCATTTCGTAAAACACTTACGGTCGGGACAATTATAATTTTGAAAACGATACGATTTTTTTTTTTTTTTTCTAAGACTGTTCTAAGACGTTTGCGCAACAAGAATCGAGTTCGATTTTAAACCGTTTTGCCGCCATTATAATATAATAATGATAAAAATTAATGTAACAATAATATTGTTAAGGCGTCGGGTGTCTATTAATTTATAATATTATAATGATAATAATAATAATAATAATAATATGTGTTAAATATTAATTGTGTAATATATTATATATATATATATATATATATATATATATAATAAAAAATAATAATTATCATGCGGAAATTATCATTATCTCCGGTAAGTGGTGCCGCAAATCATTTTCGTGAACGCCAACCGGAACTCGGGACTGAAAACGGTGTAGATGATCGGGTTCAGCGTAGAGTTAAAGTAGCCCAGCCACAGGAAGAAACTGGACACGTACTCGTTGATGTAGCAACCGTTGCACAGGGGCATGACCAGGGCCATGATGAAGAACGGCAGCCAGCACACGACGAACGCCCCGGTGATGATGGCTAGCGTCTTGGCCGCTTTCCGTTCCCGTTTCGCCTCGAGCGACTCCTTTTTCTCGCGCTTCGGTTTGACCCTGGCCGCCGGCAACGCGGACGGCGTGTTCATCCGGTTCACGTTCATCTCGATTAGCGTGTGCCGGGCGTTGGCCGACGGGTCGTTAACGGTAGGCCCGTCGTCCTCGATCACCGGCGACGGCAGCGTCATCAGCATCGGCGACGGCGGCTGGAGCTGTAGCTGGTTGTTTTGATTCTGGCCTTGATGGTGGTGGACGTGGTGTTGATGGTGTTGGTGGTGCGTGGAAGTGGCTCCGTGGTCATGGTTGGACGTGATGGTGAACGCGGTGGTCTTGTTGATTTCGTCGCCGCCGTCGTTACTGCAGCTGCCGCCTGCCTTGCACGACTGACTGCTCCCGCCACCACCGCTTCCGCTCCCTCCGCCGCCGCCACCGCCGCCGTCCTGCGATGACTCGGGCATCGAGCACGACGAATGGCCGTCGATCAGCCCTATGCTCGAGCACACAGCTGTTTCTTCCACCTCCTTGTTCTTCTTCTTGATCCGCATGAACACGGCCTTTCGGAAGAAACCGCACTTTTTGGGCTCCGCCGCCGCAGCGGCCGCGTCCTCCGCCGCCGTCGGCTTTTTCAATCTGAAACACACGCAAACAGATCGCGGGTTGAATTAGCTGTATGGATTCGAAATTCTAACGACTAAAAGTTTAAACTTTTCCTAAATTATAGTCTAAAAAAAAAAAAATTTATATTTATATATTTTCTAGACAAGTGTATAATATTTAAATAGCACGTGCTGGTAATATTTCTCCGGTAATAAAATCCTCCTCGAAAAAAAGCGCGTAAAGTTGTGATCTTCCAAAGTTCAAGTATCCGGATTTTTAGAACCTGAAATCCATGACTCGTTGTCTAATGATTCAGATTTCGAAACTCTGAATTATGGCTCTCCCTAGAATGAAGACGCTCAAACTTTAAAAGCTCTAAAGGACTATGCGCATGCCGCGAAAGAATTTGAGAGTAAATGATTTTCGGATCTTATTATTATAAGATAACTTTACCCGCTCTGCGAAACCAAAAACTTGGATTTTTAAATCGAAAATCTGCATCTCTAAACCTGACATATTTCTGATTTTCGGAAAATGTCGTATCACGAGATAGTACAAAGAATATAAAGGGAGAATCGTGAAAAGTTTCGACTACTCGGGAAATCCGGGAAAGATCCATCTGATAAACTTCACCCCCTTCCTCTGTTCTCTCTGATCACAAACTACAGTATTTAGTAACCGACTCTTCCGTACTCGCCAATTTAATAGCCGTGGCAATAATCCTCAGGTTAGATATCGGACCTGAAGCTGCGCAGTTTAATCCACCGCATACGCAAAATCGCCCGATGAGCTTATACGACACTTAGGTTATTGTAAGGTACGGTCACGTGCGTTACCGCGGTTCCGGTCGTTAAAACCGGGTTACCACTCGTATAACGTATAGAAGGAAAAAACGCGATTACCGCAAGCGGGGTAATAATGATATTGTTATAGGTATACACGTGCATTCGATTAGGTCCTTTTAATCCCGCACAAAAGCCCCGGTACCGTTTTACGATGAATTTTTTAACCGATTTAATCGAATCCTCCTGTATATAATATAATTATATATGTACACAATATAAAAACGATAAGAATATACGCGGCGAGTAATAATTATATTACAAACCACTTATATACTATACAAGTCCCGAAGTATTTTATATTATAATCCGCATTCCAATAAACGAATATTATGTTGTTTTATGCGGTTCCGTATCCGAAGAAAATTGCCGAGATTAATTCAATAACCCTGCACCTATACGGCCGGGTCGCTATAAATTACTTTAAAGTAATATTAATCTATTTATCCGCGGCGTCCCGATTAGACCTTCTCTTTCGGCAAACAAGGCATTTTATTGGGATCGTAGTGTAGAATATAAATAATCACCCCGACGGTTCGTTTTAATCAACTTAAATTTGGCTATATGCATAAGAAAATTAAAAACTAATTATAATATATATTAATTGTGTTCTAGCTGTGCGCCGGGCGTTATTTTTTTGTTTGGTTTGTTTTACTTTCATTTGTATCACCGAGGTAACCAAAAATTTAACAAAAATGATTCGATTTTCGTACCGAAAATGGCTAATGACACTGTGCCAACTTCCCTTTAGAGTTTGAATATGATGGGAGAGAAAGTAGCGCATATTTTATTTCGAATCTAGAATTACATTTATATAAAGTTTCTGCTCAATCTGTTCAATAATTTTGGCGTAAAACAGTAACAAAAATCTGTCCGTGCAAACAAACTTTAGCGTATTTTATAATACTAGTAGGATTTACGACGTGAAAAATAACGTCAGCATATTTTGTTTCGGCTTGCCGAAATCTAACCGTTACAAACGATATTTTGTAGTGACAAATAGAAAATTAATACAGTTATTTTTTCGCAAAAAGTTTGCATTAAAATATATTGTTCGTGTTATTATAATTTTTTCCCGAACATGTTTATCGCTAGCTTTGACAATTTCGCTGCGACGTTTCGTATTAATTGATAATTATTTTTAATTAGACAAAATAATAGAAACATTAACGACGTTAACTACCGTAAAATATCGATATTCTCAAAATTTATCAGTATATACACATGTAACACGTGCCGTATTAATTTCGCGTGAACGACGAGAAAATTGAGAAACGGCGAGAAGATAATAAACGAAAAATAACGCCAGAGCTTATTCGATGTCCAATTAAGGCGATGATGTAAAGTCCGATACATGATTTTTATTTTTCTTCAATACCATACGACGTATACGATTCGCGACGTGCATTTATTTTCGCTATGCCGATATTAGTATCTTACCTCGAGTGTTCGAGCATGGCGTTTCGCTGAGCCCTTCTCCTGCGGATCCTTCTCCGAGCTATTTTGAATATCTTCCAGTACAGGAACAGGATAACCAATAGGGGCACGTAGAACGTTGAACACGTAGCGAATATCTGATATCCGATGTCCTGGCTGACCATGCACCGTTGTTGGATGTTGATGCGGTCCAAGTAGTCGGGGTCCTTCCAGCCAAACTGTGGGGCTAGAGACACGATCAGTGCCACGCACCAGACCACGATGATCATGCCGACTATCCGCCGACCGTTTCTCGTGTGAATATAATCGACATTAGTGACAGCCCAGTATCTGCAAAGTAAAATGGACGCGTTGAACTATCACATTAGTTACAAAATATTCCAGACGTTTATAATCGGAGTAACGGATGGTACATCGGGGATAAAACCGTGGATAAATTAAATAGAGAAGGAATCGGGAAGAGGAAACTATTGGATAGTCAAGAAGATATTTCGGTGAGATCATTCTTTTTTTTAATGTTTCAAAGTCCCTTAAACTTAAAAATCCTAACAATATAATGATAAAAACCAACAATTAAATGGATTTTGACGATTTTTTTTACAACTAAAAACTGACATATTGTACTATGGTCAACAAAAGCCCATTAAGCGGCCCTACAACCTACATCATCTAAATTGTTGGTACCACTTTTCGATTTGGGAATAGTATGGGCAGAGAATTGGGTTATAGATCGCTGTTGCGTGACTCAAATGTCACTCGTTTGTAATCCGACCGATCAACTGCTCATGAGTCCTAGTACAAAATATTTTAGTTTTCGGCCGTCAAATTGTCAACATAATGTGATGAAACTTTCTGTTTTGATAAAAAGGTACCAAAAGTTCAGAAAGTGATTGTTGTGCTCACTTTCGGGCTATAGATCTGCCATCCACCGCATGACAAAAATCCAACGACAGACAGTTTCTGATCTTCTGGTACAGTATTCAAATTAAAACTACAAATTCATCCGATTTTTGGTTTTTTTTTTTTTTTTGTGTTATAACTCTCTTACACTACCCACTCTAAACAATGAATATTATCGTATTTTTATTGCACTGTTTCTTTTTGGCTTACACGTTATTGTGATACAAAATTATAAAAAGTTGTAATTTTTATAAAATTATAAATAAGTTAAATAGCTGATTAATATTAGATCTCTACGATGATAACTACTGAATCACAATACAAATGCAAAATAGATTTTGTCAAAAAACGGTGTTACGTTATTTTTCCTATTTTTCCTTCGTAATCAAACAAATTAATCACAAATTATTTAAATACATTTTTTCCACTAACTAAACCTGACGTATGGCTCGGTTTTAACGTTTTTAATTTTAACAAATTTCATTTGTCTTGTGAAAATCAATTATACCGTGTTGGTGTTAACATAAATAATAATAACATTATTAAAAACTCGAGTACGAAATTCAGGGATTTTAGCCCCAATAACGACTATAATATAATACCATACCTAAATTATTATTATTATTTTTACTATCATAACCTCGTCTAGTAGAAAATGGATAAACCTATTTGATTTATGACCTGACAAATATAGAAAACGCCTGTGCGGTAAATTCTTTGTCCGCACATCTAGAATCTTAAGACAATGCGATGTTGCTATATTTTCAAAAAAATATTTTATGAAACGTTACGATTTTCGAAGTAAACCGACATTAGTAGCGTTATAGCAAGATATATTATTGTATAATACGTGCATCGAATGATAAACCGCGGACGAAATCTACGTATTATT